ATGTAACTATTATAAACCTCAGCATTGAGTACAAAGCAGTATAGATATTTAACAATAGTTATTTATTTAAAAATTAATTTAAGATCCTTATTCTTAAAACGTAACAAAGAAGCTTGAATTTTATCTGAGATTTTTCCAATTCAGCTTTGATATTACAAGGGAAAACATGCTGCTAGTATGGATTCAATGTGTTTAAATATAACTAGTCAAGTAAATGTGACCCACATTTTTAGATGTTAGGTAATATCACCTATTATGTCTTGTATCATTTTCTCTCTTTTTAAAGGAATATCGCACATATTTTACAAAGTACCTATTCATGATGACTTAATTTTAATTATTAATCACACTTCAAAAACTTAGTCATATGAAAGTAAATTTATAACTGGTCAAAATAAGAGAAGTAAGAATTGACAGTAGAATTGATTACATTGAGGAGGATGAGAATGTAGGTACAGATGGATCCTGGGGGATGGTTAAGGAGAATGAGATTATGATTATGGATAGTGTGTGTGAAAGAGGGAAAAATGTCTCAAAGGTGATTCAGTTTAAAACACAAAGACCTGTCTGAGCGCTCTGTCTGCACTTGTATGAACACTTTTCATAACAATTTAATTTTTATTTGGAAAAGGGTGGAGAAGTTTGATTTTCAGTCCTTCTAATACTAAGAAAATGTTGTTACTCTTATTCTATTTGCCAGATTGGATTTCATTTTAAAACATTTTGTTGTTGTTTAGTATTTATGTTCAAGAATATTGAGACCTTTAGCTAATTCCCCTTAATAGTCTCAGTTATCTAATCTGGAAAATGAGGTCTTCACACTGCAAAATTTTCAAGTATCCTTCTGCTTTGAAATGCCTTAATTCTAATGTCACATTAGTTGTTTGAACCAACAGGGAATACACTGAGATATACAACTTCAGAAGGTGACAATGTGGTATGGAAGAGAGTCACCATCTAGTACAAACATTTCCATGGTCTCTTTCATTAATCCCAGATATGGCCCCAAGAAATCAATCTGGGTGGACTTAAAACAAAAAATTCTACAGGGTCCTTCTTTTATGATAAAATAGGCTTCATTGTTACACTACTCCAAAACTAAACCAAACCTGTTGCCATCAAGTCACTTCTGACTCATGGCTATGCCATGTGTTACACAGTAGAATTGCTCTACAGAGTTTTCATGGCTGTAATCTTTACAGAAGCAATCACCAGTCTTTTCTTGTGTGGAACCACTGGTGAGTTTGAACCACCAACCTTTAGGTTAGTAATTGAGCACTTGCTGTTTGTGCCATCCAGGACCCCCTTTGTCACATTAAACCATTTCCATGAAGTCAATTCCAATTCACAGCGACCCCCCATTGGGTTTCCAAGGCTATAAATCTTTATGGAAGTGGATTGCCTCATCTTTCTTCTGTAGAGCAGCTGGTAGATTTGAACCCCCAACCTTTTGGTTAGTAGCCAAATGCCTTACCCATACCACCAGGGCTCCTTTTGCCACACTGTACATCTCTAAAAATCACTTCCCTATCTTAGTGCCACCATATCCCAAATTTGCACAATCATAAGTGAATCTGACCTAAGTACCAACCCAAACCCACTGCCACTGAGTCAATTCCAACTTATAGCAACCCTATAGGAAAGAGTAGAATTGCCCCATAGCGTTTCCAAGGCTGTAAACTGTTACACAAGCAGACTGCCTCAGGCAGTGGAGTGGCTGGTCAGTTTGAATGGGGGAAAAACAACAACAAAAAAAAATCTTTCTTCCAGATAACTAGTTCGCTAAGGAAACACAAAGCAAAAAATAATAAATATAAAATTATGCTGGGAATTAATTGCCTTCAATTTCATTGAACATTTACCTACTTCCTTTATAATGTTATAAATTATAATCAATTTTATTTCTTCTCTTTCTTAATTTCCATTAATTCAGAAAGAAATAGAAGTTTTGAAATGTCTTCCTTCGTGGAAACCAAAGGGCTCGAGCAGCTTACGAAGACCCCAGTGGAATTTGTAGAGTACCCTTGATTTGACGAACGTCTGCTTAATTAACACAACCAGAGTCACGCGCTACTAAAGTTTTTCTAATAAGGAGAAAGATACATGAAATGGCTAAGTCTATAACCTGGGTGTGGTAAATAGTTTGTGACAAATAGTGGTGCGCAATGCTAGGGGATAGGCTGGCACATGAAAAAGTGAACTGGCCTTGGAATAAAGGAAGTCCAGATTTTAAGAGCAATTCTACCTCTCCATACCATCTGTCTTTTGACAGTTTACTGTATCTGAGTTTCCTGACCTATAAAATAGATACTGACCAGCTTTATGGTTTGTTGTGTGTGTTAGGTATAATACATTGCAGTGTGTGTGTGTGTACATTATACATATGTAATAACCAAACACCAGACCAAACTCACTGCTGTCGAGTCAGATCTGACTCATAGAGACCCCTCCTTGGATTTCTGAGGCAGTATCCCTATGTGAAAATATATGTATGTGTTTATAAAACCTGAACTGATGTCCCACATGTAATAGATGTCCAGTCAAAAGAATAGTTGTGATGATGATGATGAGAATATAAACATATATTCCTAATAATGGCTTTGTTGATACTACTAACAACAAAATCTTTTCCTTATTATCCACGAACCAAAATAAAAAGAAATAGGCATTAAATTTCTTTTCATACAGTAAGTCCAAAAAAGCTCAATTTCATGAAACAAGTCATAAGTTGTTTTTTTAAGACACTTTTAAAATTCATCAACAGTAGGAGAGAAAACAAATGTAGACTCCATAAATAAAATCACTCTATAAAAATCATTATAACTCTTATTCATCTAATCATTTTCATTATGTTTTATTTAATCCTCACAATAGTCCTATGCTGTAGTAATTGTTAAACCTAGTTTTTAGATAAGGAAACTGAAGCAGAGAAAGGTAAAATAACTTGCCCAAGACCATACAGCTGGCAATTTCAGAGTCAACTTTCAAACTCCCTTTTGCCTAACTCCCAGCCCAAGTTTGGAACCTTAAGCTAGTCTGTACATAACAGTACTTGGTAATGGAAACTAGTCACCTGCACCTTAAAGACTTACCCTTGTTCAATAATGATATGTTTCTTGGGATGGAAAATGGATGGTGGCAGGAACCAAAATACTAAATAAGGTCAGACCATCTGTGCTATATTTACTTTGTTATCAATCATAAGGGAGTTCTGGTGGCATAGTGCCTAAGGCATTTGACTGATAACTGGAAGACTAGAGGTTCAAACGCACCAGCCACTCCCCGCAAGGAAGACTGGGCAATCTACTTCCATAAAGATACCCCTAGGAAACCCAAGGAGGGGTCGTTATGAGTTAAATCGACTCGACGGCAGTGAGTTTTTTTTTTTTTTTAATCAATCATAAAAAATTCCACAGTCTTTGCAAATAGCATTCTCAGAGAAACTTAGGAAAAAGAGCAGAAAGCTTTTCAAAAATAGCTACAGAGATGACTTCATGGGATAGTTTTGGCTGAATATTTAACATTGTTTCCAGGCAATAGATTCAGCCATTCCTCCATCTCAATGTATCCAGTAAGTCTGCTTTTAGGTAAGAATTTGAAGTCTCATTCACAATTTTTCTCCTTTTGATCAAGATCCATTTGTTGAGTCCCTAATCAAAACATTCAGTAATGATAATCGGACAACCATTTCCTCTGGTCTAACAGCAAAGAAGGTAGTAGTTCTTTAAACAATAGTTTAGCTCAATGAAAAATATTTGCCCTGTGCATTGTGCCCTTTTAAAGAATTATCTACGTGACATCAAAATATCAACAGCACTGTAGAGCATAGATGAGACCTTGAAGGGGCAGAGAGTCTAAGTTAATGGTGCTAAAACAGTATGGGCAGATATAGTGAGAATTGTGATATAATGTGTTATAACCATTGTATATGTGAAAATTGTTGAGTAAGTGTATGTTTTGTTGTGTATATTTTCAGCAAAAATTTGTTTTTTTTTTAAATGTACGAAATTCATACTATCTGCTTCTGCCAAACAGTATCATCCTGCTCCATGACTTGATACTTTCCAGCTTCCTCATGCGTCCTTAATCAGTAAGCCTGTCACATTGACTTTGACTCAACCATTTTCACTACTGCATTAGCTTTTACCCACAAGGCTTTGCAAAAATGATTGGGGGGAAAGAAAATTCACTGCTGTGGATGGAGTCTGACTCATAGTGACCACTCATTGGGTTTCTGAGGTGGTATCTCTACCGAAGTAGATTGCCCAGCCTTCCTTCCGGGGAGTGGCTGGTGGGTTTGCACTGCCAGCCTTCTGGCTAGGAGTCAAATGCCTTAGGCACTGTGCTACCAGAGCTCCTTTACAAAAATGATACTATATTTATATTATAAAATCACATTTACTCTGTTTGTTCAGAAAGAGTTTTCTTTTTTTCATATTTCATTCACTAGCTCAATGATATCATTGATATTTATTTCATTTTCTCCAAACGCTCTGGTAGCATAGTGGCTAAAGCACTTGCCTACTAACCAGAAGGCTGGTGGTTCAAACCCACCAGCCACTCCTCGGAAGGAAGGTTGGGCAATCTACTTCCATAGTGATACTGCCTCAGAAACCCAAGGAGGGGTCGCTATGAGTCGGGGCCGACTCAACAGCACATAACAACAACAACAACAACAATGAAGAAAGTTGGAGGGTAGCCTCTTGGTTAATAGTATTGATTGTTATAACTGTATTCATTCCTTAACATGATGGTCCAGATATAACAAAATGCAGCTTAGCAGAATATATCCAAAAGGAACACGTGTGGATTCATCCAACTATATGCCTCAGCTTTTCTGGAATGCCGGCTGTCAAATGGTTGCACTTAACTTCCAAACAGTGGGTAAGTACTTGATGTGGCTTGAACATAAAGCCACATTTCCAAGTGTCCCGGAACCATACCCAAGTAATCAGAGGAGAAAATAATTGCCAAACTTGATTTTGAATAAGAAAAGCGAAGTTCACTGAAGTATCAATGCCAAGAAAAAAAACAAAAATCAGGTAAACTTTGAAAAATTAGAAAATTTCTTCAATCATTTGTATTGAGTTTTGTATTATTTTTCAAACAAGTGCTCTTTTATACTTATACAAGTAATAAAAACGTATTTGTTGTAAAAATTTGAAGAATTCATAAAAACCTGAAAAAAAAAAAAAA